ACAGCTTCAAGTTCAAGCTCGTCGTTCTCGGTCCGCTAGTGTTTGAGTACTCTACGATACCTCCCCAAGCCCAAGGCTTCCTCCACTCACCGACGAACTGTCGAGGCAGAGCTCGTAAAATGCTAATGAAAGTCAATCGTAATTTCTCACCAAGAATGAGGTTCAGCCACAGTCTAGCCGCGAATTACAGTCTCGTCAGTGGAGACCTCATCACTTTTTTCGGCTCTCAGCCTTCTTCTTTGAGCTTTGTAACTGTTGTTGAGTCCCGCACCAGCTCCAAGGTTCAGACTTTGGCTTTGCACGCACACTTTGTCTCCCTGGTTCCTCCGATATTTGCCTGTCAACATGGCTGGAACTGTGATGCAATTCACTGCTCAGAGTGTCTTGGCAGGGGCTGGGTTTGAGAAACGTTAATTCCACTGCAGGTACTGTGCAGTAACGTGCTGTAACGTGCTGTAACAATACCGTACTGTAGGTATTGGATACGGGCTGAAGTGTATTGCCAAGAAGGAATTACGCAGAAAGGTGAGATAAGCACAGCTGAACTTGTTTCTGCTGCGCCAGGTTGATGATGAAAAGTGAAGATCCGTGACGCCATGAGCCACTCCTGTTGTCACGACGATGCCCAAAGGCTACGTGTATTCCGTGGCAAAGACAACTCTCAGAGTTTCACTTCTCACCTCGCCGGGACGCATATGGAAGATCTCGGGCCTCACGGATCCCGGGGATCTTCCAACTGCCAGCGGACTCCCGAAGGCCCGAAAGTCCATGGAGTACGAATGGCGTGTTCCAGCACATTTGACGGGTTGGATGAAAGCAGGCACAAGAAAGCATCAAAGTTACATACCTAGCTGACTTGTCTTGTTTCTGCGACGTGTGAGGTCATGACAGCTCAGGTGATCGGCAATCGTACAGTCCGCGTTTTGAGTGCCGAGTCAGCGAGTCCAGATTTTTCCTGTTTATTTGGCTTTTGCTCTGGTGGTGATGTTCGAGAGGGAGAACCCGGTTCCTCCGAATCATATCCGGCTCGGTTATACTTCCCAGACGGAAATATCTGGGTTTATGGTCGTTTCAAACATATTGTCGTCATGGACGGAAGGGAATTTGAGGGGTTGTCCAGTGGATGAAATCGACAGAATCTGAGGGGGGCGATTCTCTGATACAGGGTAACCTGTTTCTCACAAATGCTTCACACCACACATGAAAGGTCATTCACGAAGGGACGGCTTGTACACCGTCGACTAATGTCACAATCAATTGGATCATCTCATAGGACCCTTATGATAGATCTCTTTTGTCTTACGTGAGACTCATGAACATTTGGGTTGTTCAGGATCCATATTCGTATCACATGAAGGTTGTGCTTATTCTCAAGCGTCTCGAGGTACAAGTTCCAGGTCGGGTCAGACACAACTGATTTTTTTGTTCCAGTCAGATATCGTAGGGGCTTGATCGGGAACAAGTAATAAACACATAAAATAGTTCAATGTGATGAATAAATACAGCTACGATACTATCGTTTGTCTCAGATGAAAAGAAGCTTGACGTTTCTAGATTATTAACTGCAGAGAAACCAAAGAGTACATGCCTAGAAAACCTCATGTTATGAGAATCAGTATATAATGTCAATAAGACACATACTGACACCTCCCATGTGAGCCTGAGACTTGAGTTCACGGTCCCTTTGGTTTCGAGCAGCTTCATACTCACAGAGCGAGCCACAATGAAAAGGAATGAGAATGAGAATGAGATATCCCAGGCGCAATTCCAGCGTCACCATCAGTACTAGTTGATTCACATAACTCAGGTTTCCGTGAAATTTAGGGCGTCCTTCAAAGCATAACACCACCGCTGTTAAGAGGGAAAGGCCTCAAGCAACTTCCGTCAAAATGCGGCCCCGGATGTCGTCGTTATTGCTAACTTCTTGCCTATAATGAGGTAAAGTTCACCAGGAGAAGACGGCTTGGAATAAAGCACCCACAGAGTGAACATGCTTAGTATTGGTGGTTGTGTGCATGGCGTCTTAGACAATCTCATGTTGCCACCTTCACCATGAGATACAGCATGCCTAAGAGAACGAGCTTGCACTGATGCACAACATTGAAATATGTCTAGGACATAACAGGCGAGAGACTATCAATGATCGGTTGCTTCTATCAGCAGTTGCCACTTTGCTGTATTGATCATACATCCATGAGGGATATTACAGCATCTAAAGCATTGTGATATAGCATAGATTCCTCAAAAAAAAAAAAAAAAAAAAAAAAAAAAAGTAATTGCACTTGATATAGCCTTTGATTGAACCAAATAAACCCTGATAGACTACATTGGATGTTTGTGTTATTGCTTACTTGTTTGTTTGTACTAGATCTACCAGAGGTCACACCAATATCTTTACTTCTTCTCCTACGCTTAAGCCACATTTAACTAAAGCTTGCACCTACAATTAGGAGAACATCTTCGCAAAAACCCAATTGGCTCTGGCGCAAACAAACCACCACTTCTATGATATCGTCAACCCTCGACTTCGTGCAGCAAGCTATTCCTGGGCAGCTTGAGAGGGAAGCTAGATATCCTCAAGAAAGCACATGAGAATGGCGTGAATCTAAGCGGGACTGGGACGATGAGACCTGAAGAAAGAGCAACACATTTGCACTACGCTATTAAGCATGGGCATCGTGATAACGTCGAGTACCTGCTGAGATTGGCGTAGATCCCCATGTGCTAGCCAGAGGTTGAGGCGATACAGAGCCTGTAAGGCCTTGTACCCTTTACATGGCCATCCGAAATAGTGGTTTTGAAGGAGCTGAGAAAATACTTGTCCTAGCTTTCCAGAAGCTAGGAGCATGCTGGGCATTTCAGGGAACATCTGCTTTGGAGCATGTTGACCCTCACGATGTCAATGACAGGGAAATCATTGACGTACTCGTTAAATTGCTGGGATCAAGACATGCTACTGATGCATTACGATACGCTCTCAAGTCGAACGAGCCTAAGCTTGTGTGCCGTCTGCTCGAGAGGCCTGGCATGGATGACTCTGTCCCTGATTCTAATGGTCAAACTCCTCTATTCTGGGCGATTCAGTACAAACGGGTGGATATTGTTAAGGTAATGCTCCAGCGTCAAGAAGTTAATACCGATGCACCTGACAGGAACGGTTTCACTCCCTCATAGGCGGCCGTTGGTGTAAGAAGATTACCACTAGTCGAATTGCTCCTCCAAATCAAAGAAGTCTATGCTCGCAGGACTGACGCAGGAAACTCCAGTGCCCTCCATATTGCTGCCGCGCGTGGGGAACCAGAGATCGTAAATCTCCTCTAAGAGCAAAACGGTCTTGATATAGCATCCCCTGATTCAACAGGGAACACTCCTCTACACTGGGCTGTTCGAAGTCGCGATAAAGTACCATGCAAGTTTGGTTCCAATATACGATGACGATGATGAGAATAACGGCGACGATGAAGGCGACGACGATAGTTATACTCTTGACGAACCACCTGGGTACAGAGAGGAAAGTCTCAACAGCATCAAACGATTACTAGCCAGACAAGGGGGCAACGCAGGAGGCCATTATCAAGTAGACTCACCCCTTTTACACCACGCTTGCTTTATAGCAGATTGCGAAGTTGTGGCGCTCTTACTTCAGCGTCAAGACGTTGACCCCAAAGCTCGAGCTATAAACGGGCAGATACCTCCCCATCTAGCAGCATCGCATCATCAGTTAAGTGCAAATAGGATAATGGATTTGCTTCTCGAATAACCGAGGTCGATCACGATGGCCGGACTGTCCTGCACTACCCCTGTGGCGGTTACGATACGAGTTCCGAGTCCCCGAGCTGATCGAGACCTTGCTTGAAGCAGGCGTCCCGCTTGACCAGGAATCTGCGACTGGTTTGACGGCTTTCTATCAAGCACTCTGCAGCGGATATTGGAGTGACCGTGGTGCCAGATCCCATGATTTCGAAGCGTTTCAAATACAAGGACAGCCTGCTGCATATCATGAAACATTCTGACAGCGACGATGGAAAGTGTGAACTAATCGAGAGGCTTATCAAGAAAGGCATCGAAGTTGATACTTACACTGATTCGCATGTTTTCGATCCCCGGTTCAGCGAGGACGACATGATCGAAAAAGCCGTAGGCATACGGTCCCCAGATATTCTTGTCGGCACAGATTGCACTCCGCTATTGTTGGCAGCAACGCGCAAGTAGAGCCTCAATAATATGAAAATACTCCTTGCGACGGGAGCGGACCCGAGTGCGCACGCCATCATCAGAGACGTAGAGTTTGAGGGCAAGACGAATGGTAACTGTCAAACGTTTTTGTCCGGAGTGCTTCGCCATGTCTTGGAGCTTTTTAGCCCAGGCGACGGTGAAATCCTGGAACATGCAGAGCCCATCGAGGTGTTACTGGAGTTTGGGTCACAGTTAAGAGTTTGATGGCCCAGCGGATAGTCCACTTCAGGAGGCCTGTAAGGCAGCAGAAGAGGGACATTTTGCTTTATTGAAGATTTTGCTTGACAGCCCAAAGGCAAAAAATGTTAGTCAAAGCCATGTTAATCAGTTAATCTCTGCGTATAAGAACAAACAGGAGAACGCTCAGATTCTTCGGATGTTGGAATCTTTGAAGAAAAATATATTGTCGATTAGTGTTGGACTTTGGCTTGTTGAAGCCGTTGGTGTGAGTTAGAGGCCATTGCAGTACCGGCACTTTGCCAATGTCATGTAATATATATTAGTATAGTAAGCAACAGAACAGTATATTTGAGTACCAATATTATACTTGACAAACTTCGTTTCACGTCAAATTTACAGAGAGTTTCTCTGTCGAAGGACTCTGAGTGACGACGAAAGGAATCACGTGACACAACACGTGCCCATCATGGAGATCGGATTTTCCCGCTAGCCGAATCGCGAATTGCTGCTCCGGCAAAGATTCGTGCCAGCGGCCTCATTTGAGCTCACCCAAGCAACAACCTCATCCACCAGCTCAGCCCATCATGAACTCCTTCCGCGTTGCCCGTGCGGCTCTCCGAGCTCGCCCCTCCGCCATCCGAGTCCCCCTCCAGCGAAGAACCTACGCCGAGGCCGTCCCCGACAAGGCAAGATTCAGCCAACCCCGTGCCCCGGCTACGACTGGGTTTTGCGTACCGAGCCCGACTGACCGTTATCGCAGATCAAGCTGAGCCTTGCCCTCCCTCACCAGGTATGACACCGCCCGCGCGATACCCGAATCGACGAATACGATTGCAATTGGACCCTACGATGATGGCACCGTCGCCAATTGATTGATGCATGGGAGCTAATTGCCGCACCGCAGTCTATCTACAAGTCCCAGGATGTCGTCCAGGTCAACATCCCCGCCGAGTCTGGAGAGATGGGTGTCCTTGCCAACCACGTTCCTTCCATTGAGCAGCTGAAGCCTGGTCTGGTTGAGGTTGTCGAGGAGTCCGCTGGCTCCAAGCAGTTCTTCCGTACGTCATAAGTTCCAGATCCAGATTTAGATCCAAGATCCGCTTGCCTGGAAGTCGACAAATCGCTGATGGAATTTTCGTCTTAGTCTCTGGTGGATTCGCTACCGTCCAGCCCAACTCCGTCCTCAGCATCAACGCTGTTGAGGGATACCCCCTTGAGGACTTCAGCGCTGAGGCCATCCGAGCCCAGATCGCCGAGGCCCAGAAGGTTGCCAACGGCAGCGGAAGCGAGCAGGATATTGCTGAGGCCAAGATCGAGCTGGAGGTGGGTTTCAGACGATATATACTTGCAATTGAGCTTACTGACGAGGGAACAGGTTCTCGAGACCCTGTCTGCACACGTGAAATAGGTGCACAGAGAGTTTGTTGTGACGGAGGCCCTTGTACATCAATATTCTACCCATATTTAGCACGAAAAGCTGTGACAATTGATACCAGTTCTGGTTGTGCTCCTCCTAAATGCACTTCTCATTTCCTTACCAGTGACTCCTTCCTTCTGGATGGATCATCTACTATCTTTCAGTGACGTTGATAGGCAATGAATGCAATAGTTAGTTGACCCAGCGCTGTAAGGCATTCTATATCTTAACTTCCGCACCTGATGCAATCGTGAGGTAGGATGGACTTTTCTCTCCGTGCCATTCGCCTCACGCTCCTGATTTGTACTCCTACCTACAACATGCCACCCCTTTCCGCACCTCGCATATTGATACTCTATATCGACTACTCGAACTTCTGGGCTATCGTCGGTCGCCGTCTTCCTGCTTTGTAGCAGTGTTGCATGGCTTCTGGTACGATTAGCCAATATCTTGAATAGCATCCCATCCCTAAAATCAACAACACGTTATGATCCCTCCGGGAGTCGTCGGTGATCGTGTTCGCCAGCTCCAGACACTTACCGAAACGCAAGCCGCGAGTGGGCGACCTTCTGACACTTCTAAGCGACCGAGTAGAAGCACCACGATCGGTTAGGGACCAGGAGTGGCCAGTGGTAACAAGAGTCGTACATCGAGAGATACACTTCCGAGACAGATATCCTCAACTCTATCGCAGAAAGACAATCCAAGATCCAGTGCTGTCAGGGGCTCCCGGGGAAGAAATGGATCAACGAAACCTAGTGTTGCTGGCTTCCGGCCTAGGACGAGCTATGGACGAACTACCTCGAATCGACCAAGCCAGGCTCTTCGATACTCAGCTAGTACAGACATGCTTCCTTCGGAATCTTTGATATCTCCATACCTTGACTCGACAAACCGCTCTCGTACTGCAAGCTCCACAGAGAAATGCCAAGATGCGATGGACATCCTTGAGCAGTACGGGATCTCTAGACCCTCGGGATGGTTCTCGGATGGCGACGCAGGCACGCCAGATCAAATCAAACAAACTAAATCGATGCTCTCGCAGATCTGTCACTCGTGCGGTAACCCTCTCGCTTTTGAGCGGTATTGCTCACACTGCGGCCACGATTCTTGTATGAAGTGTACGGGAGAGACCCCTGGACAACCCCTTGGCCACAGGGTTCTCAACAGTTCAATACAGTATCAAGAACACTCTTTCATAGACAAGATACCTGAGCTACCAACGCAAAATGAGTACCCCGAAAGCGAACGTAGTCATACCACACGGACGACAGTCGATACTGCTCATCGTCGTAAGCTCTCAAGGTTCGCATCAGAGCCAGATACACCAAGGACATCCTTTAGAACCAAGACGCAATCTCGCCAAAGACCGAAAACTGATCACAACACCTTGAAGCCCACTCGGAAGAAGACGATTGCGGCACCAACAGAGATCTCTAACTCTGTGAAGAACAACCCCTTTTTTGTGGCAGACAGGGGAATGAAGAAGGAAGCCCCAGAACCTGAAATCACGACGAGATCAGTGCAAGTGGAACGCAAACCCGGGCCCTCAGACTGTGTACCTAATCGTCTCAAGTCCAGCTCACCCCGCGTTTCTCACGTAGAGGAACAATGCCCCGACCCTGGTTGTAGAGCTACACACGATGGTCACCATCCAACACGGCATAGCATTGGTTGTGCGACCAGGCGTAGTCTAGGAGCACAAGTAGTTCAAGGCAATGATTTGGATATGGTTGATACGGATGAACATAAAGCTGAAGAGAAGAAACACACACAATCACTGAGGGACTCCGCATCCCGAAGCAAGTTACAGATGAAAATTGACCAACTCTATCATCATGGACAAGATCTCCATCACTCGCAGCATATCATGGAGCATCTATCAGCTGGTGTGCAGACACTCGAGTCTTCTACGGATGAAAAGCTCACCAACGGGCAAGACGGGCACATGCGGGCGGACGGCTACAGGTTGAGGGTACAGAGTCAACCTGGCATTGATCACTCCTTGAGTCGAGACCAGACTGTCACAGTGGCAAAAGACCCTATCGAACACAATCTGAACAAAGAACCGGCAGTGCCTGACGAGATTGAGCCACAGCCACCTAATCTTACCGATTATCACAAGGGGGATCGGCATCCGAGCCCAAAGTCTCATGAACCCCATGACGATACCCAACCTAAGGATGCCCATTGGATAAAGCATCCTATCAACAATAACAAGACCCATGACGCGCCGAGAAACTACACGAGAACACTGAACTCACAAATAGCTAGTGAAAAGTCCGTCTCTCAGTCCAAAGGACCGAAGAAAGGCCTCAACACCTCACCAGAGGCAAATGAAAGGATTGCGCCACAAGCTCCAAACAAGTCCTTGTCAGACAAAGATCATAATGCTGATCCCAACTCCAAGAAAAGGATTGGGAAACTCGATGAACCTGTTCCTGAGTGGAAAATGATGCCCAAACCAGCTCCACGTATCAACAATGACTCTGAAAGACCGAAAGCCGAGGCTACCGGTATCTCGTCATAGAGGACGCAGTTAAGGAAGGTCGATAGGTCTTCAGAGCAGCCACGAAGCCAGCAACTAACCCCTTCCCATGTCGAGAACTGGAGGCGTGAACTCAGCAGTGTAAATAGTCGTACGCCACTACCTGAAAAAGACAGGAAGGATAGTTGCTTCAACTGCAATCCTACCCAGTCATCATCGCCTAAGCAAACAGAAGGTGGGTTTCAGATCTTTGTGGAAGATGAGTCACATAACAAGACTGAGAATGAATTGAGTGCTGCCTTGGAGTCACCCATGCCTCGACTCAAGGTCACAGACATTGAGCATTCCCTCGCCCGCAAGAGCGTCGAGGAATTGTTGGCCAAGAGTCCACAGCCACAAGAGATAGCAGCAGAGGAGCCAAAGAGTATGAGACTCCCGAGCATAACAGAGGATCGACCTCGCAACCACTCTGAAATGTCAACATTGATCTATGACCCTAGACCGGTGATGCCTTACAACCACATGTGTGCTTAGCGAGCACGCTATATGGACCTCAAGAGCCAAGTTGACGAACTTGGGCTCGAATCAGGTCGCCCGTCGCCAGCGAAACAGACACAGGGCGTGTGCTCCCACCCCAATGGCGATGTTGACATTGAGGGCCTCACAGTAGTGATGCATCTCCGAGGCAAGGATGACTTGGTGATCAATACAGACTTGAAAGATGGTCTACAGGAACACATGAGGCCGCGAGAGAGCAGACGTTCGCAAGCGTAGGAAGGGTAGAATGGTCAGGATAGACCAAACCGGACCGGACGGAGAAAGTATTGCTTTTTTGATAGTTTATTTGTTATTAACTTTAGTATTGATACACATCGACCTAGAAACTTGGAATCATTGGTCCCCATTGGCCATGAGGCTTCTTCACAATCACATCGTGACTCGAGAACATGGGAGCAGTTCGTTCGTATGTCAAAAGCCATGACAGCGCACTGACATCGAGTCAAGGACGCTATCGGCGGATAACAACATCCTTCCTCCTGCTCCCTCTTTCAACCTCAACGGCGTTCCAGTCCAACGTCAGCAACCGTAGCGAAACTCTACAAGTAGCTGTCAGTAGCTGTCAGCCAACAGGGACGATTCCACGGCTTCCCGGTCTAAGCCCCGGGCCCTACTGCAGCCTCCCCTCTTCCCCGGTTTGCCAGGTTCTGATGCTGAGAGGATGTGCCAGGGGGTGACCCGGAGCAAAAATCCTCTAGGTTCTGAGAAGCGGTGACAGGGGGTGCTGGTGTTCTTTTTGACTTTTTTTTTGTATGCAAAGGTAGGGCTGGGGTGTTGAACCCAGGGCAAATCGACCTTTTGGTTTTTTGACGTGATAGACCCCTATGTAATGGAGACAGTATTTCGAATGTGACTGTTGTGAGTGAGGCGAGAGCAGGGTGTAACCTAGAACAGGATCGACCTGTGCTGCGTTTTGGCGAGGATGTTGGGAGATAGGATGTTGCCTGTTTGACCAACTAGGGGCATACACGAGATGTCAAAAAAGCAGTATGATCTCACTTTGGAGTAGGGACAAAGCGGATTTCGTCATGTGCGAGCGAAACGAACCATTATAGCAAGACGGAGGGTGTCTGCTAGGGAACAAGTGTGTATGTTCTCGCATTGGATTCTCTCATCCATTCCGGTGATGCTATCAGTGAATGCTTCATCTGAAGCGGTGAGAGAAAGAGAGAGAGAGAAAGAGAGAGAGAGAAAGAGAGAGAGAGAAAGAGAGGAGCTGAGTTGTCGGTGAAACCCCTTCATTGTCTTCCCTTGCGTGCTGTTAGCGAAAAACCCAACCTCATGCAATGCGTGCTCGCTATGTGCAGGAGAACTTGTAGTACATATGCAGCCGTCAAAGGCACAGATGCCAGCATCGAATTCCAAACTGCATCTGCATCCTTTGCCAAGGGTCCCATGTTTACTATACACCTAGCCATCACATATACTTCTCTTATGCACGTAACAACGCAACAGACATGAAAAAAGTTCCGACCACGCAGAGCTTCACCGTGTGCGTGAAAGCGGTCAGGGCGTCGAGGGCGACAGCGGTGTAAGGGAGAACTACACGCGAGTCATGCCCTGGAAGTGTTACTCGGTAAACAATACAATTATGGGAGTTAGTGGACCATGGATCCGGCAGTTGAGAGAGCTAAGCAGCTCCGTGTCTCACGATAGGCACTCCATCCATCGTGCGGCGTTGAATAGTCAGAAAGAGAGAGGAAGAGTAAACTAATACTGGGTTCGCAAACATCACAAGACCCCCGGATGTGCTCCATGGATGATATGTAGGCAAACATTGGCGAGAGCCACGGCTCATAAGCACTGTGTAGCATCCATCCCAACTAGCAAGCAAGCAAACAAGGTTGCTTGCCCAGGAGTACGGATATCATGGAACGACCCAAGCGCCAGGGTCATGGTGCGTCCGGGTCCAGAGCTTGAACCACAACAAACGGTAGAAAAACAGAAGCGAGTATAGAACATGTCCATGAGACGAAGATCCGGGCGCTAGCAGATAATCAACTTGAACGGGGTACGTACGATTGTCAAAGCCTTAGGGACCTCTAGTGCGCGTCAATCCAAACTCCCTCAGGCATTGCCAAGGTCTGTGCTTTCGTTGCTCTGTCTCCACGTCTATAGTCGGGAATGAGCTGTAACAAACGATTCGATGCCTGTCAGCACTTGTCGCTGTCAAGATCGAGCTCTATAGCTTGAAATCGTTGAGCCTCAATCCCCGGATTCCGACGTCCACCTTAAACACATGACCACCGTTCTTGCGGCTCGATCCCTCGCCCTCGTCGTCCTCGGCAGTTGTTATGACAAGCTCAGTACCGACAAAGTGCACGCAAGTGGTGTTCTTGGTCGGCACTTTGACCTCTCCAACAATCTTGGCTGTGCTGGGGTCGATTCTAATGACACGTCCCTCTCCATATACAGCTTGCCAAAGGAACCCGTCTACATCTACACGGAACCCGTCGGGCTCGCCTGAACCATCATGGTTGTAGAAAACGCGCTTGTTAGAGATTTCCCCAGACTCGGTATCAAAGTCAAAGGCATAAATCTCTCTGGCATTTGAGTGTGTGACATATAGTGTCTTTCCATCAGGAGACCAGCCTGGTGTGTTGGGAATTGTCATGTTAGGCAGTTTGACCTCTCGTGACTTGGCGTCCATTAGATAGACCGCTCCTAAATCCAATATGTCAGACTTGATGAACAAGAGATGCAACGTAGAGTAAGTGGACAGGGTCCTGATGTTGGTGGCAGGGTAGAGTACCTTCGGGCTTAAAGGGACCGAGCCCAAAGTCTGTCATTGTACCCAGCCAGAATCGACCCAGAGGATCTACGCCGCCATCGTTACTTCGCAGACGCTCATTAACCGGTTCTTCGAAAGGCTGAATAAGTTCGTATGTCTCCTTCTTAACGTCGAGAACAGCCAGTCCATACTTGACGCCAACGGCGATGCGTTCCTGGGGATCAACCCCAGCAATGTTTGCTGTGACAGTAGGACATACGTCTAATTGGACGGTTTTAAGAGACGAAGGGCCTTCAGCCACCTTCACATAATGTAGCCTCTTATTGCGGATATCGACAAAGCGCAGGCAGCCCGATGATTCCTCATAGAAAGGTCCTTCACCCAGCAGACAGTGTGTCTCAAGCCAAGGCTTCTCAACCGTCCATTGCTGAATATTGGCGCTCATTGTCATCAGGCTCTGTACGCGTCTGATATCCTGTTAGTTTTTACGGCAGAATCGCTTGAAAAATAAGGCTTTATACCAATCAGTAATGGCCAATGACGGGCGGGATTGAGGTCAGGATGATGCTCTATGATGAATGAGGGGAAATCGAGCGGGCCAGAGCAAGCGAAGTTGAGAGTGGGGAGCTCTCGTATTGTGTCTTGATATAGAGGACTATAAAGCATATGCGAGCAGTATCGAATTCAGGGAAGGGAAGATAAAAAATTAAAAGTAAAGCAACTCCAAAGGAGAAGATAGATAGATTATTTTGATGCTTCGATGACGGATAAATCCAATGAAAGGCCTCATCCGGTTCGGCACGGATGTCGTTGAGTATGCTCCGAAGCCAACTCCGGGCCCGCCGGGCCTCAGATCCGGTCTTTATGTATTTCATTCAAATTGCCCTATTCAGACGGCCTGCACCGATTGTATATCTCGCAAAGTATGGATCTTGGTTCTTGCTACGGTGTAATTCCACTTTTCAGTCTCTAGAAGGGCCGGAGTGCATGTATGTCACTGAGATGAACAACATGGAAGCGAATATGGTATCGGCCACACAAGTGGTCCGACCAAAATGTTGGCTTGTTGTGGCGTTGTCTGACCAACACGCTGTAACAGTCGATCTTGCTTGGTGAAGGCCGCGAACCAGACTGTCGGGACGTATGGTGTCGCGCAAGAAACGTAATTGGGCAGCAGAACTCGATTAAACTGTGCACAATCGTGAAGCGCGCTTGCGGCTGTGTGTGTCGGGTCTCAAAGGCGGCCGCAGAATGCATATATAGGTAGTTTGTGTAGGTATTAGACGCGGTTTCTCGGGTGCGGCAGCCTGTTTAAATTGCCGCGCTCGTCGCGGGAGAGAAGGACGATAACTACTCAGTACGGTAGTGAACTATTCGCCTCTTTCTTAGACCCAAGCCTTCGTCCAGCAAGTCTCATTTTTACTGTGGGCTCTGAATCTCTGGTGTTGCGTCTTCGAGTTGTTTCACGTGGGGCATGATCAAGACCGTTATGGCCAGCCCCCACGCTCTTCAATACTGCAGCATAGTCATACTCGAACCTTTCCCAGGACGAATACCGAAACTCATCTGCATCCTAATTCGACGGATGACTCCTCTCATCAGAATAGGCGGCTTGGTAAGGATTGTGAGCGAGCATGACTAATGAAAGCCTTCTACTCCAGTTGAAAACTTCCTCGCATCCTCATATATGCACGCCAACAATGGACTGACGTGGTCAACGATCAATTCACCCGATTCGAACAGAAAACACACATTCGCGAAGCATCGTGAGTTGAAACCCAAGAACGATTTCAAAGCTGGCCAGATCTTCCCTCCGGTCGCGGAACCATCAGGTCGTCATCAGGCAGCAACACCACCCTCATGGCGACCAAACTGGAACGTCAAAGGACAACGCATCAAGTACAGCTCAACCCGCAGTTCTCACGCATCTGTCGGCCGGTCAAATGTATGCAAGCGAGACACACACTCACACCGCCCTGCTGAAGCAGCAAAGATGCTGCAGCCGTGAAAAGGAGTGAAGCGGACGCGGCACCGTTGGCTGACAGATGCCTACCAACATTGTTACCCGCATTCACTAGCTATGCAGTGTGTGTGCAGTCGTTGTTTAGTGGTGCATCGATGCTGTGCTGCTGCATGTCGTAGATGCAAGAGTGGGCTTCTGCATGAACCAGGCCCAAGCTATACAAACTTACTGTGAACTATTTGGCCTCGGCTATGACACCTCGGCCTGCTTGGCCTTTAGTTGTTAGGGTCGTGTGGGTAAACTCCAAGAAATACCACGCTGCCAGCACATCCTGGGCCACGACCAGACGCAACGCACGACAGGGCAAGGCAAATTAGCTGCAGATGCAAATGCATGCCATAGCTGTGTACAGATATTCGTTGATTAGCTAGAAACGTTTTGCCTGGCTCTTTGACCCCTGGCTGCTTTCCCTGACCGCTCGTGGTCACGGGAGGCGTCGTGGGCCCACGATCGCCGCTGCTAGGCCGGGGATAGTTGTCGAGGCTGAAGGGCCAGAACGTTGATCTCCTCTGCACCCTCCGCCCTCCTTCTCAGCACAAGCGCGAAGCGGTATAGAGTTTCGGGGAATAAGGCCACGTCTGCAGCGTCTCAGCATGGGTTATGATGTCGTCGGACTTTAACGAGGTGATAGCTCGAAAGGACAAAAAGGTTGGTCATTGCTCCAAGGCAGGGTTTGGGAGCGCAAAGTAAATCGGCGACTTCATGAAATAAACCTGGGATATCATCATTAGCTTTTAGAGATGGGCGGAGGCCATATCATACGCGCAGAGAACCGAACCAAAGACAACTAAAGTAATTACTAGGGACGGGCCGGTTCAAGAACGGGGAGGGCATTAACATGGGACGTCTGACATAGCAATTGACAAACATGCGTTTCCGGGCTGAATGTAGAAGCCCATAAGCATCAAGGGATGGAGGCTGATCCTGATCCTGGCGACACGCTTGACTTGTTTCACGCCTTCTCCTCAGCCTCGCAGCTTGAGTCGTCCTTGTGGGCTTTGCTGGCCAAGTAGCCAAGGCACTACTTGGGTGAGTCCTGCAGGTTGATATTGACGGTGACAGCCACGCAGATGCCTGTAATCTAAATGTCGAACTGCATCTGAATCTGTGTATAATTACACAACAATCGGAGGAAGTGATAGGATTCCACCAAGAATCCTACCCCCACAGTGATGAGACCGCCACCTCATGAACCTTTTGATTATTGCGTCTTGTTGATATTCAAGGCTTTCGGCTACCTATTCTTTCAATGATATCTCACCCCACCATAATCGAATTTGAAGTTATTATAGTGTCGCGAAGCTGTGTGGTACATAGCTATGGCCATAAAAGTGAAAGAAAGAAGGAATCATGTCAGAAAGGCTAGCATAAGTACTTTTCAATAGCCAGGCTGAAGGATAAAGCTGGTGTAGCAAGACTTGAACCAGAGGACTTGGGCTTTGACCAGGCGCCTTGAGCCGACGGCATACACATGATGCCAAACACTAAACACGCCCCGTCCCGTGCCTCTCAACGCCGCAACGTGCCACTGAACAGAACTTTGCTGCTTGGTGTGATAGCGTTTCAAGTCAACGTTATTGGCGTCTAGTCCACCTCATTTCGCTTTCGAGGCGGTCATTTCCTGGGAGTTTGAAATAAATCGCCATGGGCACAATCACAGCGACGTCACACCACCCCTGGGCCGCACGCATCTGTGCGAGGTATGCCAATCTAAGATCAGCTAGGTAAAGCCAGCCATGTCAATATCTCTGATTGTTTGCTTTTTGCTCATTTTCATGACTGGTCAATGTACGTTGGAGTGAGTTGTGCAGGCTAGTGCTTCATTTGGTGGTCTTGTGCCACAAGTTTGTTTTTGCCGCGGCAGCGCTGAAAGAGTCTGGCTTAAGGCTGTGGTGACTTGTAGTGATGACCTAGCATTTTTCACTACGGCACGATCTAATCCGTCCGTCCTGCGCGTGACATTGTCAACAGGTACGTAATATCGCGTCTGATCGTGGAAGCTTGCTAGACTCCAAGTCTCCAACCATTGCCCCGGTACGTGCGCGTGCCATTAAGAGCTCCGACATCCACTCAACGCAGATTGGTCCTTTCCATTAGAGACAACTGTCATGGATGGTTGCATCTGCACGCTGGCGGGCCTTGCAGCTATGGGCCAGGACCCTTCCCCGGTAGAGCCCCCTGGCTATGCAATTCACTGTGACCCATTAAGAATACTGTCGCCGTACGCAATGCCAGTGCGTCGAGTGCCCCTCGTTGCACCCACACCCACCCCTCGGCCAATGTACCGTATATCAACGCTCCAGGGGTTTTGGGGGAAGAATATTGTGAGCACGGAACGCCCAACAAATATCAAGAACCTCCCATGGCCTCTGCCATCATGGGAGGAAGAGAATCAAAGCGCTCATGGCATTATGAGCGCAGTCTTGGAGGCATTCTATAAATGAAGTCCAGGAGAGGAAAAGGGCTGTAGACGAGTGTTGTCTGTCAAGACGTGAAATGGGTATTGAAATCAGTCTTGGCGATGCCAACAACACCGCGTTGAAGTGTTTAACGTAGAAATGGGCAGTCACAAGAGTCCAGGGGCTTTCCGTCTTTCCGCGCAAGAATTGGTGCATGACATGGCATGTCGTGGCGTGAGACGCGTGCAAGTTTGAGTTAGAAGAGTTGAAGTTGAAGTCGACGTTTGCTGGGGATAATGATTGAGATGCTCGGAAAGGGTTTTCCATGATTGAATGCATGGAGTACGTAGGCAAGTAGATATTGAAGTGGGTGATGGTGAGAGGAATTGCTAATTACGGCACGAATGTACCTGCTCTTCTCATTTAATTGATGCCTGTACTACCTAAGGTAGGTAACGACAGCTCTTGCGTGACTGCCAATTTAGTAGACAGCGGCTATAGACGAGCTGCCTACCGTAACGGGTTCCTTCCTTTCCTCGACCAAGCTCAAGTGACTGACGATTTACTTTTCCTTCCAAGAAAATTTTACTCCGAATCTCACATCAGTTGTCGTTGATTGATTCTTCGGCAGATGAATACATACCTTGGTAGGCATTTTCGCTTTTGATACCATCGTCATCATCAACATGTAACGGCAAATTATCCCACGGAGTCGACTTCTCTTCTTTCACCTCAGGGGGTGTCTCTACGAATACTTACAGTACGGCCTGCAGCCCTGCCCTACCTACCTTGGCTTCCAACGTCTCTTTTATGTCTCAGTCACACATCTCAGGGCAAGCAAGACAATGCAAGTGACTGCTGTCTTTGGGCGGATTCATGCCTCTCTGTTATTCCGGTTTGGGTTTTGGTGGGCGACCCTATATGCAATGCCATGTCATCATGAACGACAATGATCTACTCTATATGCGAGCTTGCAACATCCGCATCCCATTCGAGGCCTGCGAAGCTTGCCCACATCAGTTC